AGGCAGAGTTGATATAATATAATTATTTATAAAATATTTTTATAGAATACTTTAAATACTTTTTATCTTTAAAATAGCTAGTGCAGACTTAGGTGTGTGTCTTCACACCTCATCCAGTGGACTGGATTTACCAATGAAAGTCGTCGACATGTTTGGCTGCCGTTTACCAGTTTGCGCATACAATTTTAATTGGTATTGTATTAGTATTATCCTTCTAACTTTTCTTTTGTACTTTTTTCTTCCTTACTCTCCATATACCAATATGATCTTCATCCTTCTCTTGTTTATTATTAATTCCGAGTATACTATGCTTTCTTCCTCTTTTTTTTGTATAAACTTTTTTTCAAATTCATCAACCTTCCCTTTTTCCTCTATTATAAAACCACCTCTAGCCCTCCTTCTCCTACTTTCATATTGTAATACGATTAATGTAACATTACTAGATATAGGGTGTCTCAGAAATAAAGTAGGAGCCACATTGGGGGCGTAGAATGGGTCAAGGGGAACAAAAAAGTCTGATACCATTTTAAAATATTCACTGTAGTTTTCGAATTAAAAAAGAAAACTTATAAGCCAATGTGCGGTGAAGCCGCGTCGCGCGAATAGCACGGCCCATCGCGCCTCGCTCGACAACGGCGACGGTGGCGTTCGAAAACTGCAGCAAATATCAAAATAATATCAGACTTTTTTTGTCACCTTTGATCCATTCTATGCCTCCAATGTGGCTCCTACCTTATTTTTGAGACACCCTGTATATATCAGTAGAGCTGCTTACTAAGAGAAAGAATGCGTCTTATTGTTTAGCTTGTCGGAGTTGATAAAGCATAATGAGAATAGTTTGGTATTCGCTGATGAAAAGGAGCTGGCTGAACAATTGAAAATGTGGTTTCAAGATTACCCCAATAACAAGACTCAACAACAATTACGTGAAAAGTTTCAAGAGAACATGTTTACGTCTCAACAGAATTGTAATGATTGGCACAGTAACTGGAAGCTCAATGTATTGCCTTATTTTCAAAAGTGATTTTGATTATATTGTTCCATTGTATTTTCATAAACTGAGAGTGACATTTATTATATTAATATGTAACAATATTTTATTAAGTTTTATAATGTATAATAAAGTATAAGATTTTAATTTATAAAAATATGGACCATTAACGTTACAAAGTTATAGTTGATGATTATCTTGGCGTCATATTCATTATTGTATGTTTGATATCTTTAAGTTTCTCAGAGAAATAAGAAGATCCAATCTTGATCGCAACAACACTTATACCGGTAGATATACAACATGCTTGACCAAGTTGCTCCTTCTTACATATATAAATGTAAGGTATTTCTTTTGTTTCCGCTAATTTTGTCAAACGTGTGAGAAAATCCAATGGTTCCATCAAATGCGTTGCATTTTCGGCAAGTACAATAAATTCCACTAAATTTCGTTTCATCGAGCTTATCACATCTATCAGTCCGATGAATAACATACTTCTCTCCGCATAATACATTTGTCGAATCAATGTTAGTAATTTGTTACATAATTCCTTTGTTACAGTGAGGTCAGCAATACACTTACATTCTCCCGACTATGCAAAAATGAAAGAATTAATGTAAACACTTAAACTGTAAACACAGAAGCGTTATTTTTGCATAATGCTGCATAAGGTATAAGAGAATCAAACAATCAAAGTTTTTCATTTCATATTCTGCTTGGTTGAGTCTTTTATGCCTTATACAAGTCTTTGTTCCCAGCTTTATGGTGCGATTCACTTGACGCTGCAATTCATTGACTAAAATTTAAAAGAAAAAAATTTTACAAATTGATCAATCAGACAATGCTTTGAAGTATTTGTAGTGTTAAGTAGATCACACTCTTAAATGTATGATAATTAGTTATTTTAAATAAAAATGTTAATATTAACTTATAAAAGACTTGGGTAAGTTAACTGTATACTGAAGAACAAAAATAGAATCCTATTTTGGAATAGATAAATGTAGACAAGTGCGTTATCTGCGAGATGTGATAGTTAGATGCGCTTATACATCTATTCTAAAAAAGGATCTCATTTTTTTTAGTATACCAACATAGCTTTTTAGCATAACAACAATTTAATTATTTAAACGTTCAATTATTTTTAAAATTTCCTTTTTCGCAATATACGTATGTAGAAAACAAACTTGTTTTGTTTAGACATTTTATTAATGTTTTAAGTTTATCTTGTATACACAAAAATTCCATACGTAAAAGAGATTGAATATAGAGATTTTTTTTTATAAATTTAGCACAGTGAAACTGTTTCGTATGTCAAATATTGGATGCATTCAGCGAACACATCGGCTGAATGCGCGTTCAGTAATTATTACCTGCGATTGAAATAAACCTGTAGATGCATGATCTAAAAGAATATACATTTACTAAGCGCTCATTCAAACTATTCGCTAAACACACCAATTTGAGTAGCAATAAATATTTACATTATGTGTTACTAATAATGAGGTATCAAAAATAACAAATAGATAAATATCATTTAGATTAAAAGCCTTTCAATCTCTTGTTGTATGGCCTTGATCTGTGGTTTTAATTGCGAGCCTTCATTGATCAATACTGAACAGGCTACCACTGGTCTCGAAACACCACAAGCTCGTCCTAAGGCCTGCTTGCTCCGTACGAAAACATAAGGTACATTCTTGTCTTCGCACAGTAGTGGCAAGTGGAGTAGGATCTCCAGTGGCTGGGTGTCTGCAGCCATCACTATAAACTCAGACAGGCCACGATTCAAGGACTTTGTAGCCTCGTTTGCTCCCTTCTTCAGTTGACCATAGCTCAATGCCTGCTGCACCAAATTCAATATCTTTATGGTCAGCGATGCATCTGCCAATGGATACGCCTTTGGTGATACTTCATCCATCTAAAAAAGAAATCCAAAAATCAATATGACGTATTTGGAGCATCTTGATAAAGAAAAAAATTTACTAATTTGTCTCACTGACATGCGTGGACGTATACAAACTTTTCTCAAGATAATATTAAGGCTGACACTTTTGCCTAGCAGAAGCCTATATAGCTAATATCAGGATATTTTCCAGAAAGTACTATGTAACACAGTGAATCATTTAATCTTTGTTTAACGTTGGTAAACAATAAGGATGTAATGATATACTGTGCCTTACTGGAAAATGTCCTCAAATATACAAACAACTCGCGATACATCCACGTGGGAAAACTAACCTCAAACAACAATTGTGCGTATCGCGATAAATAGTGACAAATATTGTGTTAAACACTACTCACCGTATAATCGCCAATCGAGCTTTATCTGTTCTTTTTTTATTCTTCTTTACGATTACGTATTACTTTTAAAGCACAGTATTGCACTTTATTTTTTCTTTCGCCTTTTTCCTAGATTTCATAAGCTTCCTCGGAGTAAAGTCTGTCCTCTAAAGGATAGTACTTTGACCGTTCTTTCTATCGCACTTTTCTCTTGAATAGCCAACGACTTCGGTTATATGTAATCCAAGTTTTTTGATTTTATTGTATATTGTTGTATATTTCTAACGAAAATTATTCAAAATCAAGCACTGCCACGCGAATCTTAAAACGGAGGACTACGGAGGCACGCGAATGGCGATAATGACCGGTAAATGGAAAGCACAAACGTCCATGTGATCTAACGTAAAGTGCATGAACTAAGCTAAACCACCGACGATACTATTAAAGATCGTCAACCCTGGGCAAATTTTCGGCGGTATGAAAAGGGCCCCGAGGACCCGGAGATAATTGAAGAACGCTGACATTATCGAATTGATATAAAATTGCTATTATTAACATAAACATTTGACTCATGCATTATTAAATTTATGATTTTTTATTATTATATAAATGTTCCATAAATAAATACTTGTAAAGCTATAATATCCTATATATTGCAGAAAAATTCTTTTCTCTGTAGTTATCATTTCTGTTGATAATCAAACTTTGAGGATACACTGAAATCACAATTTTAAAAATCGAGTATTATTGAATTCTAAATGCATAAATATGTCTACTAAACTAACAAATCACAATACAATATCATGAATCATTAATACATTATCACTTTTTAACTCTTAATCACTTCAATAGTTTCAAGGACGCGAACTCCCGTAAGGATGTCGGTCTTTAATAGTATCTCGTCGGTGGCTAAACTGATAATAAGCAGAAACTTCTACAAAGTTACATTTATACGTCCGATCGATTTATGCTGAAGTACCGACTATTAAAAACTGTCCTCGCTTATGGAAATTCACGTATCTGTTAAAATTTGATCCATTAAGAGTAAAAGAACTAATAATACGGTACTAATTTTACGATTTATTAGTTTCGTAGATTTGTATATATGTTTAAAACTTAATATAATCGATTTTTATTAAAAATTGTGATTTAATGTTATCATCCGAGTTTAATTATCAATAGAGATGATAGCTATGCAGAGAAAAAAATTTTAATTTTTTGGCAATATGTAAAATATTATTGCATTAAAAGTATGCATACTTATGTATACAATATTTATACAGGGTGTCTATTAAGTAGGATCGGAGCCGCATTAAGGATGTAGATCAAGGGTCAAGGGGAACAAAAAAATCTTATACCATTTTGTAATTTTCGCAATAGTTAACAAGATATTAATTACTAAAAATGGTTACGAATATTGGTCACCTATAATTTTTTTCTCAAATACTATCAATTTTACAAAAAAAATTATAAGAGAAAAATTGTTTATTTTCTTCTCATAAAACTCTAAAAATTTTTTCAGAATTTTTTATCAACTTTTTTGCACTACATTTTCTTATTTCTATTATAATGAGAAAATGCGGTATTAAAAAATACTGAAAAAATTCTCCCCTTGACTCATTCTACGCCCTCAATGCGGCTCTGACTTTAATTAACAGACATCCTGTATAATAAAAAATCGAATTTAATAATGTTTAATTAATGTTAAGAGACTCCTTAATATTTAACAAATTAAAAACAAGAATATAAGAGGAAATTGGAGTCAGCGTGGACTTGGTGCGCAAATATAACAGTAGATATGTTTAAAAGTCCATGTTTTGTACAAAATGATTGAATATAACAGCCCAGCAAACAAAAATGGATTAAAATGGATTGAAATTTTTTTCTATTCGAATGCGTATTTTAAATAGCAAATACTTTTTTTGGATTTAATTGGATTCAATTGGATGCAATTACAATAGATTGAAAAACTGCATTTTCTATTCAAAATTTTGAATTAAATTGTATTCACAATATACAGAAAAAGCTAATATGACTTTTAGATTAAAAGATATACCATAGAGATATGATCCATGCAATTCCTATAAATGAATAAAAATGCATTCAGGATTGAAAAACATTCATTTTAAAAACATTCGTGAATGAATATTTCTGAAAATCTGAATCCATTTCAATTATTTCAATTCATTCTCGTTTGCTGGGAGGGCAATAAGAGTCAAGCACGGTAATTTTGTGCAAACCAAACGGTTAACAAAACAATTTTATTAATAATGAATTACGCTTACATGTCAT